TGGGAAAAATTCCTTCCCCGCAAGGGCTGTCAGGCCCTGGAAGGGGCTTCCCAGGGAAGGGGTTGAGTCCCCGTTCCTGGGGGGATTTAAAAGCCGGGCAGAGGAGGTGCTTAGGGCCAGGGTTTAGTGGTGGGATGGCAGGGTTAGGGGAATGGTTGGGCTTGGTGAGCTTAAAGGGCTTTTCCAACCCAAATGATTCTGTGGTTCTGTGATTCGTGTTCTAGGGAAAAGCAGACGGCACCACAGAAATACCTTGCTCTTCAAGAGAATCTGCGCAAGGATCCTCGCCTAGCTGAGCACCTCAGTCATGACTGATTTCTTTATTCCTTCACACCAGCCACTGGAAATCAGTGCTGAAGCCTGTTAGGAACAGCCTGAAAAACCCATGGAAAAGTTTTCCTATTTTCCTGCAGTAAATCCCTCATTATCATCAGATTCATGGATTTGTTCCATTGTCTTTTTCTTTTCCCTCTTGTGTTTTAAGGCCCATCTACAGTTACATCAGTTGTCTTCTCATGCAATTCCATCATGTTTTAGACTGAAGTCTGAATGAGGCCTCAGCTTTAAGTTCTGCTTCAGATGTTGCTACAAATTATGCACACTGTATTGCAGTGCTTTTCTTCCCCAAACCTGCTCCCTAGCCGCTGACATCAGGAGCAGGATTATTTGGGAATACTGGTTCTTTTCCGACAAAGTAATATTTTAACACTTATATTTGGGTTTTACAAGTAGCAGAAGCAAAGATTTCAAACTTCTGAGTTCACAACAAATGTAAAAATTCTTTTACCTCATTTAGAGCTGTCAGCTACACAACCCAGCACAGGCTAACACTCATATTGACAAACTTTGGATTTTGACATCTTTATTTTTCTCTTTGAATGTCTCCACTCACCATTCACAAATATTGGCAGGCAGGGTAAGAAATCAAGAGAAATGCCAAAAGCATTCCAAATCCAAGACATTTTAGGTCATCAGGTATTTTGGTTAATAATCATTCCCCGAGATCCACAAATGGAAGTCAGTATGTGTGTGCCACGTGTTGGTATTTATATAAGTCCCTGAACTCGCTAAGAGACAATTTCTGATGTCACCTATAGTACATTAGGTGCCAGGGACACCTACAGCGATTCTACCTTCTGTTACCAACAGCTTCAGTCTTCACGGAACAACCTCTAATGATCACCTTCATCGAGGACTGTACTGACTGCAGCTGGGGGAAGGCAGAAACTTATTTTGCTGCGATACAGCAGAGTCAAGAACATTACACCTGAAGTACAGCGTGAACCAGGGCAGGTTAAAGTCTCGTTTTATGGTAGCTGTTCATTTTGAGTGCAATAGACTAAGGGGCTTTTCTGGAGAAACAACCCCCTGCCTGCCTATTTTATTGCAACAGAGTATTTTTTCTGGCATTGTTTCTGTTACATTTTAAGAGGTGAACACAATGTTAAAACCAAAAGGCACCATTAGCTCACTATGTCTAATCTGAATTATCCTAGATTAACATAGAATCATGGAATGGTTTGGGTTGGAAGGGACCCTTAGGGTCACCCAGCCTCACCCCCTGCAGGAGCAGGGACACCTTTAACCAGACCAGGTTGCTCACAGCCCCGTCCAACCTGGCCTTGAATGTTCCCAGGGATGGGGCCTCCACCACCTCTCTGGGCAACCTGCGCCAATGCCTCACCATCGTCATTGTAAAGGATTTCTTCCTTATATCCAGTCTAAACCTACCCTGGTTTAAAACCATCACCCCTTGTCCTGTCACAACCGACCCTGCTAAAAAGTCTGTCCTCACCTTTCCTATGGGCACCCTTTAGGCACTGAACAGCTGCAGTCAGGTCTGCCCACAGCCTCCTCTTCTCCAGGCTGAACAACCCCAATTCTCCCAGCCTGGCCCCGTAGCAGAGGGGCTCCAGCCCTCAGACCATTCCCATGGCCTCCTCTGGCCCCGCCCCAGCAGGTCCCTGCCTGTCCTGTGCTGGGGCCCCCCCAGCCGCGAGCCGGGCTCCACACGGTTCCCCAGAGCAGAGCAGAGGGGCAGAATCCCCTCCCTTGGCGCTGGCCATGCTGCTGGGGATGCAGCCCAGGGTAGGGTTGGCTTCTGGGCTGCCCAGCGCACATTGCGGGCTCATGTCCAGCTTTTCGTCCTTCAGTACCCCCAAGTCCCTCTCAGCAGTGGTGCTCTCCATCCCTTCATCCCCCAGCCCGGATGGATACTGGGGGTTGCCCCAACCCAAGTGCAGGACCCTGCACTTGGCCTTGATGAACCTTATGAGGTTCACACAGGCACCAAATTACCCTTATAAGAGCCCGTTAATTTGGGTGTCGCTGGAAGGATGCGCTCCATTTTGGGCTCAGAAATGGAGAGCAGAGAATTCAGCATCTCCTGTGGGAGATGGTTGCAGCATTTGACACCCACCACAGCAAATCCCTGGGCCTGCCTGGGCCTCCCAGCTCCCAGTTTTGGAGCTCGGAGATGTTTCACGACAGTACATTGTGTTCCAAGCCACTTAGCCACAGCAGCAGCTGCCTATTTTACACCAACCCACTGTTCCTGACAGCTCTGCATCCCTCTGTCAACGCCTGGCTAACGCGGTGACCTACCACAGACAGAAACAGGCGGGGGAAGGAGAAAGCTCTGAACTGCTCAGTCTTTGGGATAGGGAGGTATTCCAATAAGAACATGCTATGGAAAAGGAACATCAGGAATTCCAGGAACTAGCCCAAACAGTTACCAAATCACAAGGACCATGAACTGCTGCATGGCTGGGGGACCTCAGGGAACTGGGGAGAAAGGAAACCCGAAGGTCTCTGAACAGCAAAAGGAGCAAGCACGCCTGTGGTTATGAACTCATCAGTGCTCGCTCAATACCAGAAAAAGACACCAGATGAAATGAATTTAAAAACCCTTTTATAGGCACTAGGGACATAGCAGCTGCTAAAAAACCAGTTAACATATATTATCAAGAACTAGTGTCAAACTGACTTGATTTCCTCTTTTGATGGAGTAATTGGCTGCAGGGACAGGGAGGAAGGGGTGGAAGCGGGGTGACACCATCGCAGCCAGGCCATGAGAGCGCCCAGCAAGGCTGCGCCGGGAGGAAAAACCACCTGAGGCCCCGGCTCGCTGGGGGCAGCAAGAGGAGCTGGTGCCAGCGTGGGCTGGTGTCGTGGTTTAACCCGGCTGGCAACTCAGCACCACGCAGCCGCTCGCTCACTGCCCCCCCTCCCTCAGTGGGATGGGGGAGAGAATCGGGAAGAAAATAAAAGGTTAGAGCCGAGGGCTGAGATAAAGACAGTTTAATAAGAGAAAATAATAATAATAGTAATAATGAGAATGATAACAGAATATACAAAACGAATGATGCACAATGCAATTGCTCACCACCCGCCGACCGATGCCCAGCCCGTCCCGAGCCGTGATCAATCCTCGAGCCGCGATCAGTCCCCGAGTTGCGATCAGTCTCCCCGCAACCGACTGACTGACCAACCATATAACGTCATGCTCGGGGAGGGTATGGAATAGCTCTTTGGACAGTTTGGGTTAGCTGTCCTAGCTGTGCTGTACTCCCAGCTTGTTATGCACCTGGCCGAGCAGAAGAAGCTCAAAAAGTCCTTGAGTAGTCTGAGCACTACTTGGCAACAGCTGAAAACATCAGTGTGTTATCAACATTCTTCTGGTACTAAATCCAAAACACAGCACTATGCTAGCTACTATGAAGAAAATTAACTCTATCCCAGCCAAAACCAGGACAGGTCTGCTGTTGCGGATCCTGATTTAGAATCCTGATGACTGTGCCAATTTTTCACAGAGGGGTGATTTAGGCTGCTTCAAGAACCACTGCCAAAGGCAGCAGCAAACATGGTTTTATTGAAACTTAGCAAGTTCGATGGTGAGGTTCACTCCATTCCTCACTGCACAGAGCACACAACAGTGATTCAAGGTTACCAACACAGAATCAAAGTTACCAATGCAAAAATCAAAGTTACCTATGCAAAATCCCAGTACCCTGTGATACAAGGTTGTCTGCGATATCCCTCACTTCCCAAAGGCCTGCAGTTGGTCAGAGGCCTCTCAGCCTCAAGGAGCAACCTTGAGAGGTGTCCCAGCTCAAGGGGAGATCACTGCCATGCGGCCAGGCTGCTTAGCAGGGAGAGGTCAGAGAAGGCTCCCTGAGGCTGTCGTATTGATGGGATAAAGTGTTTGGCCTATAGCCAAATTACATGTGATAAAAAAGGTCTGCCAGAGACTCTTTGTTCCTTGATAAATGAGTCTTGGAGGAACCAGCTGCTATTCATTGTGAATTCCATGGTGGATGTTCCGGTTTCCAAGCCCAGATGTCTCAATGCTCACCATGCCACGCTCTTC